AATAGCCAAATATTCAGCAGTTTTAGGACCATTAGTTAACGCACTGCAAGCTAAATCGATCGACATGATCTCGGTGGGGGAACACATCAAAAATATCAAGGACATTCTCAGAAATGACCGCGAGTTTCCTGATAAAATAAGTAATGAAATGCTTCAAAAAGCGCGAGCTGTTGCAATGGATTTGAACATAGAAATTTCGGTTCCACGTCTTGCTCATAAGCAAACACATAGAAGTAATCCGCCATCTGACATAGATAACGAATATTGGCGGCGTTCTCTGATAATACCATACATTGATTCACTCATTTCATCGTTGAATATTCGATTCTCCCATGAAAATACTCCGGCGTTTGCTTTAAATAAGCTTCCCTTGTATATGACCAAAACCAGCATTACAGACTTACACAAGAACGCAGAATCATTCCAAGAATTTTATAACCTGGATATCAGTGGAGAACTGAACCTTTGGCATAATTTATGGATGAAGAATGCTTTATCAGATGATCAATTAAGGGATATAGAAGTAGTTGATCTGTTCAACGACGCCAATATTTTTTATCCTGCTGTCAGAAAGGCATTGATTATTTTAAGCACTATCCCATGCACCACGGCGACCGTAGAACGGTCCTTCAGTACGCTTCGAAGAGTTGAAACGTGGCTTAGAAGCACTATGGGTGAAGAAAGGCTTACGGGTTTATGTCTGATGAGCGTACATCGCAATTATTTAAAAGAAAACAGTGTGTACGGGACGCCGGGCTGTCGCAGTAGCGGACAGTTACCGACTCGTACTGCGGGGTGGAGGAAGTTACACGCAGTTATGTAGTCCTATGCGTTATCTACCTAATACAATAAGTTTCTAATAAGAATATTAAGAAATAACAGCTCTACGGCCCTATAAAGTTTACAAATTAAAAAGTCTTAAAAAACCTACTTACATTCACTTAATGCCTAACTATCATATATCATTTAATCATTTTATAGAGGAAGTAAAAACACACAAAACAACATCATTATCATTACAATTATACCTATATCCTATCAACTATTCGTAAAAAACTATATTTGACATTTTCCTCAATTATGCCTAAACTATTAATACGATTTACACAAAACTTTGATATATTACTCTTATAACTACCTATTTCCTAATAAGATATAAAACAAATAAGTCGAAACATAAAAACATACTATTTACGAATGCTTACAATTCAGGTAAAATCTTATAAGATGTTAGAAAAGGCCAGCCTATCGTCTCTGCCCCTCCTATAGGTCGGAACTATCAATATTCTAGCTAGTTTCCCCGCGCCACCGCTTGGCGTCGTGGCGATCGTTTAGACAAATTCTTATAAGATCGTTGGAGAGAAAGAGACGGAATATCGCTCTGAACTATCAATTTTACAATCGTTTACTATGGGCAAAGCTATCTATTATTGCGATATCCGACTCATTCTAATAAGACAACAAGGGAATAATCATTTTTAATGTGTATACAACCGATACATGTGAAATTATAGATACATTTTATAAATCAATCTCATATCGACGTAAGTTTATTTCTTCTCGCTTCGGTCGTAAGGCGGTCGTCTCGTACACAGTGAGTTTATTCAAAAGACTGTCTTAGACAAATTTTCGGCGGCAAATCCGAGAAGATTACTTTTAAATTAATATATGTGTATTATGATTATTATATATATTTAATATTTTGTTTTGTGTCATAATCAAACTAATTATTAAAAGTCAATTTTCATGATTTTTTGTTTCAATATACCCGACCGACCATCTTCTCGAATCAGGTATGAGCTGCCCCCTCCTAGCTGAAATCCTGGGTACGCCCTTGCCGTCCCGGGCCAATTTATGATTTGCCTGCAAAAACAAGTATCTGTATATTTGATAAATTATTATATAAAACTAGTTTTTTACGGGTTAATGCACGAAACTTTATTTATTTATTGACGTTTCGCAGCCTTTACAGGCTGCTTCGTCGGAATTATTTTTTTATTGTGCATTAACCCGAAAAAACTAGTTTTATTTAATGAGTGATGTGCGTGAAAACTTAAGAAACAAATAAATTATTATATTTTAGTATATATACTTTTTATCATTAAACTCTTAGATTTTTAAATTTAAACAAAATTTTACTAGGTATTTAGAAAAATACTTGTAGGTTGCCTACAAAGCGAATAGATGGCACTGCATTGCAGCCTAAGAAATACTAGAGCAAAATTCGACACGGCTATTAGGGTCGCGGTAGCATAATTAATTAGTGACTAATTATTAGTCACTTCATCGGCCCGGATAGCGGAGGGTGCGTTTTCGAGTCCCATCTTCTCTGGTACGGGTGGATTTTTTTCTAGCAACTTTTTCTAATTCTGTCAGTAACGAATGGCTCACCCGCAAACACAAATTAATATCCGCGCGACCGCCATCCGCGGTTGGTGGCTCGTGCGTTATGCTACTAACAGTGTCCACTGTTAGTTGAATTACGTCCGGTTCCTGTCGTGTCTGTCAGTATATATAATGTCTACTAACTGCACTGAATTACAAGCAGGTGACATATTCAATTTATTATTTTCTCTCAATCGGCATGGAAGATTTCATACGTTTTTATGGTAAATTTTATACTAGCGCAAAGATGCGCGCTTCGATGAGCTTAGACTGTGCGCTAGTATGAACTATCAATCAGAAACGAAACATAGCAAATTCATCCTTATTACCGCAACGTAATGCACGTATTCATTAGGCCTTAGATTAAAACAAATAGGGGAAATACGGTACGCCGTACGCTCATACTAGCATCAAATCAAATATGCTCCGACTCAACTACATAAGCAGCTCTCACATACGCAGTGTAAATAAACATTCAATCGAGCTAGCGAAACAGAACTGTACCCCTAGCAGGAACCATTATCGAATTCAATTAGTTTGCGAGTGCGAAATGTTTATGTCAAATTTTGTATGGAAACTTGAACAGCAGCGCCACAACGGACGTAACGAGAACTAAAAATCAGTACATATTTGACAATGACTGGCGCTGCTGTTCAAGGACATTGAAATTTAGCACTCGCAAACTATTCGAATTCCATAATGGTTTGGGCTAGGGGTACCTACAGTTCATTCAACAAGGATTATACTTTCGTTATGTTCGTGAGTCCACTACTTAGCTCAGTATTTGTACTAAGTAGATTATTTTATTTTAACATCTATAAATACATAATTACTTGTACTAAGTAATGAAATAAAATCTTGTAGCTTTTTAGTTAGGGCACCCATCTCCTACGTGTATGTATAGTAGGGATGTTATTTCTTTTCTCGTCTACCCCATGGTAGAGTAGGGTGTTGTTGCGATCTGGATCGCTTACTTTTCGACTGGTGCAGGTGCTGTCTGGGCATGGGTGCTTCGGACAGTACTTGCACCGGATCGAGAGGGATGCGGCACCGACCTGCCACACGAGTGCGGCGCTACGGTGGACACAGCTCGGCACACCCTTGAGGAGTGCCCAGCGTGGTCGCAGCAGCGTCGCGCTCTGGTCGCGGTAGTAGGGAGGGCCCTCTCCCTGCCCAGCATAGTCAGAGCTAGCTAGTTTAGACATGTCCTGGGGGGTAACGGTCTCTTTTTGCGAGGAGGTTATACGCATTATCCGGGATAGGAGACAGCGGTTTGACCGCTTCTTAGCCAACGCTAACGGAGGTTAGCGGGCTCCTGACTTGGGAAGTCCCTGCATTGCACAGGCCTCTGATGATGGATAGGGATGCCTTCGATTCGGTGAGGTGAGGGGTGTCGTCAGGTTTTGAGTGGGTAGGACCCCCCTCCTCCCGAGCAGCCGTTGAGTCGGCCCTAGGGCTGGCTAAGCGTGTGGGCGGAAGGGGGAGCAGTCCAACATAACCACGCCGCACTCCTAAGGCGATGGGGTATACTACACGCATTTTCCCGGCGTTAAACAAAAAAAGAATAGGGTGCTGTTGGAGGATTTAGGATTACTAAATAACAAAAGAAAATTCTGGTATTTAAACTCATTTTAATTTTTCTTTCATTATTGTGGTACATTTCTGGTTTTTTTTATTTATGATAACAAAATAAGTTTACGAAATTATTGGCAAGAAAATAACAATGATAATAAAATCTGATTTCAGGTGGGATTAAAATTTATTGTCAAATGTACTTAAAATTATGAACTTCTTAGATTCTTTATTTAAATACTATGTGTTGTGTTCAATTTACTATTTGCACAGGTACTGACTACACAAGCCCTCTACTTTATTCTAAGTGCTAGAACAGTAGAATGTATACTTTAAAAGTTACATACATTCCGTGCTTGTTTTTTACAATGTTACTAGCCCTATTATGCACAAGTATATTTATTTTCTTGATGAAACATTTTGTAAATCTACAAATGAGAATGCTGAAGGCACAAGGATTTTGTTTGGCTAATATTTTCAGAAATGCAAAATAAACTTTAATGATAACATTTATTAATAACATTTATTTTGATATTACTCATAGGTGCACAAATAGATACTATTTTCACACATATTGTACAGATAGTGTCATGGAGAATTAAAATTAATTAAACCCAATTAATAGAAACCTTATACCTGCACTACTTAACAATGTAGGCCAACTTGTAAGTCTGTCATGTATTTATATTTTTGAACTACACACTTCAGTGATTTAAATATAAGCTTCATCACTGATAATACTTTTTTTATTAGGAAAGTACCTATTCTTTACAAATTTAAATTAATTAAAACAGGTTTTGACTAAACCATACTTAAAAATAAATAAAAAAAATAACATAAGGACAAATACAAGTATCTATAAAGGATGTAAATGGTGAATGAGCAATGAATTCACTATACTAGTATCTACAATACGCCGATCCACTTGAACAGTGATTATTTTAATATAAATGAAATATAATTACTGTCTTTAAACATTGGAATTGATTGTCTACTTTCATTTCGATCATTAACAAAGGCAAGTGAGTTTTAATTCATTAAATCAGTAAATAAGTGATGTCAATAAACATTAACAGTTTTCAAAAATTGTCAAAATGGTCGGTTTAATTTCATTCTAACACTGTTATACACAAACACAATTCTTCACCACCAATTTTACATACCTACATAGAAATGTTTGCTACTCGACAAATAGGACACAATGGCTAGAGTAGGAACTGCCCAGGCCAAACAACATTGGAAATTCAATAGTGAGCATGCCATGTGTCATAGACCTGCAACACATTCCTCCCACAAATCTCCGGGACCGCCCTCGCTTTATTTCACACCACCACACTGGCCTCTCACTTATTTCAAACAGTGTTAGAAGATCAAAGCGTCATAAGTCAGGAAACCGAAGGGGATCTTCCAAAAAGTCATCTGGTATAATAAATAATTCTGGTGGTATATCATCACGAAAATCAAATTTTTGAAAAGTTATTTTAGCTGTAACTGTTGGCAGTATTGGTATATCAATTTTCACAGGGAAACCTTTTGGTAACTTCATAGCTACAAATTGACGTAATTTTGCAAAATGTTTAAAAGGAGCAATGACTTCAAGTACATTCAAAAGCATATCAACACTGAGAGGAAAATCATCACTCATAGCTAAAGTTGCTCTGAAATTTCTGGAGGATTCCTTATAGACAAGCTCTCGTCCTAAGCTGGGATACTGCCCGGGTGTAGATGATATGTACATAGTCCAGTCTACTCCAGATTCTGGTGGTGGATTCAAAGATGCTCTGCGAGTTGGTTCACCGTTTGTATCTAAATTTTGTGTATTACCTTTTGTCAGGCTTTCAATGATAGCTTTGTTTTTCTGTAAATCATCTGTGGACAAGTGTTCCCTTCTTTTTCTTGACTCTAACACAAGTCCTGTGATTGTATAAATATCACTTCTATACAAGCCTGCAACTATCTCCTTCCGATCTTCTCGAAATATCCAACCTGACTGGGCTCTTGAAAATGAAATTCCTTTCGTAGACATTTGTGCTGCCAATATATCACTGGACATTAAAATGTCAACTTCATCTTCAATTTCATTCTCAGTTTCCTCATAGCGTACACGTTGATAGACTTTGGCTTTATTATCAAGCACGGTTAATGACTCACTTGGAGGCTTCTCACCTTGGAATATGAATGAAATATCCCCTCTCTCCCATTTCATATCAGTGAAATCCACTAAGGTAGTGTCTAACCTTATACCTGAACCAGATTTGTAAATTTTGCATACATCTGATGGAAGTATTCGTGAGACTAATGGCACCCACGAATGGAAGTCCCATTTCAATTCCATATAAAAGTCTTGTATATGAGCGAGAGCTCGAATGAGATCAGGTCTCCGAACTTCCATTTGCTCACGAGCTTGTTGTTTAAGTTTCCGAACGAGGGACGAGATAGTCTGACGATCGCCATAACTGATAGCTTCTGCAAGTGGTGACCATCCAGCCAGATTTTTCACTTTAACTGGTGCACTGTGTGCCAACAGCAGCTGCACACATTCCTTGCGACCTAACATTACAGCTAAGTGCAGAGCAGTGTTTCCATGTTTGTCTTTACGTGTCACATCATTGAATCTTAGTAATGACGACAGCTTTCGAACATCTCCAATGAACACACATTCATGAAGAGGATAAGAATCATCCTCTTCGTTGTAATTTGTGGTAGACATGTCGTATGTATTCTAAATCATCACTTACAATACTCGATAAAATTAACAGATTTTGATGTTAATCTAATCAATGAGATAAGACTATTTTTTCACTAAAATTACTCCTTCCATTATTACTGTAATAACGAAACGAAATACATGTAAGTATTATCCAGCATTCTCGTCGATTTAAATTTATTTTAGGAACCCATAGTTTAGTGAAAATTTCAGTAGAAACAAAAAATAAAATCACTCAACAAAACGATTCTTCCATGTTTTATTTTTTTCAGTAAAATTCTTTCCTCCAACTGAAGACAAAAGATAAAAATTTCATACAGCCTTGAGTCCCTATTACATTAAAATAAGTATAAATATGTGCTTTTATTATATATTTTTACATTCATAACATTTACAATCTTTAATAAGTTTTCTGGATAAAATAACATAACTACAATGTATGGCCTGATGAACAGATGGTTAGCGCCCAGTCGCTCACCATGATATAGCCACATCGCAGTATAACTTGCCTGCATTTTTTTATGAGTGAAAAATTCGCCAGGTGCATACCCCACTGTGGGGCTGACGACAGGGATGTGGCCAGTGGTCGCTAGCAAGCATACCCACTAAAAAGCACTCGATTTAGCGTCGCAGTCGGTTACTGGTCCCTTATTAAAATAGGAATTCATCACGTCAGGCACTCCTGTCAGTTAGTCCGCCTAACCAGGCCATCTCCCGTGCGATCAATCATCCACCCGAGGCAAGTTGCCTGCCTACCTTAACCTCCTTTTTAAACCCTATGAAGCTCCCAAATCTTACACCAAGAAAGAGACAATACCTTTGCTCCAAAAGTCAGTGCTGTCTTGTGTTGTTCATAGATTTCTTTATTTTATCTATAGAGATATCTTCTTCTTTTTCTAGATAATTAATAAATAGTGCTGCCTTGCAGCCTAAGAATTGCTAGATGAAATTCAATACGGCCATGAAGTTCGCGGTAGCACAATTGGTCAGTCAATTTGCCCGAATAGCGGTGGTTGGTGTGGAGACTGCGGGTTTGAGCCCCGTTTGCTGCCTGGACCGCAAGGATTTTATTCTGGCATTTTCTTTAGATTGAAAAATCTTGTAGTTCAATGCTGAAAAAATAAAAAATATTATTTCAAGTAGTTTATATATTATTTTTTCATTTTTTACGTATTAACAGTTTTTTATATAAATTAGAAAAAAAAGCATAAGTAAGTAGTTAGAAGGTAAAAGGTAATCAAAATGAAAATATTGTAACACTAACGCATAAAGATAAGCACATAAATATACTAACTAATAAGTTTTGAAATTCAAAATGTATTTTTCCTATCTATCTACCTACTTACGCAAATTATGCTATGAGCACGTAGGCTGATTAAGGCCTATAGTGATAAGACAACGATTTAGTCACCGTTAATATTGAATTAAATGATGCAAATTAAGCGAGGAAGTATAAAAACATGGCATTTGTGAATTAATTACTGTATTTCAGTGGTGCAAATATGGCGTCGAAAATATTACTATTTCTCACCATTATCCTCGTTGTAAGCGTACGTAAAATATAATTTCAGATTATTTTTGTATGTAACAAAATAACCTTTTTTTTCTATTTATTTTGCACTCAATGGGGGCTGGCGAATCATAAGGAAGTTCAGGCTTATATAGATTTTGATAATGGCCCTGACGCCCAAACACGAAGTTTTGACAGCTCCGTAACGTATCGCATCGTCAAAGTTTCTATGAAAACTAAGCAGCGCCCCTATCGGACGTAAGAGCAAACTAGCGTTTTCCATACAAAATAAGACAATGATGATACGTTACGGAGCTGCCAGTGTACTTCTTTGCTGAGTATAGCATCCCGCTGCTCGAAATTCACGCCACAACTTCTGTTGTACCTGCTATTGAATAATTACTGAAGAAAGCCTTTCAAACTCGACAAGATTTGATCTTTAAATTTCTCAGTCAAATGCATTCAATTTATTTTTCGTTTGCAGGTTTGTTCTGTGACTTGCCAGTATCCGTTAGGGGCGGGGTTGACACCTGGCGGGTACATGCCTCCTCCAATCGTGATAACTAGAAACTGCGGTAATGGAAATGATAAAGATATGCTATATCTGCTTTTACTTCTTCTTTTAGATAATAATGGCAATTGATTAAACTTTACTTTTTTTAGTAACCTACTTAATTATAATAAAAAAAAAAACACATTTTTTATATTGAGTTTTTCTCGTAAACCTCCTTCAGTCCAAAATTATACCTGTAACTTAGCGCTTACTTACAACTTTAAGACCTTGTCCAGTGCCGGTTTTAGCACTACCAGCGCCCTGGGCGAGATTCATACGGCACCCCCTTCCCCCTTATTTACTCGCACCTTATACCCTTAGTACGAGTTTTACCATTACGAAAACTATAATAGTTTTCGTGAGCTCGCACTCGTACTAAGGGTAAGTAAGGGGGGAGGGGCGGCTGATGTGAGCCCAAGTGTACGTTGTTGGGCAATTCACGTCTACCGTCCAGTGTCACTCTTACGTCCACGCCGTTCACCCCGGTAATACTTGGATCTGAATGCTATCCTATTGATGCACTCCAACATCATGGGAGACACTTCCTGCGACCCGTATTCCCTTCTTTCCAACTCCAATTATTCGTTTAACCCCTCCCTCATCCTGAATCCTGTCACTCCTTAAGGCCGACCCTAAAAAAGGCCTTCGGCTCTACCGGGAAAATGGGAGGCGGCCCGGTAGACTATTAGCCTCTCCTGCGCTATGGCTTGCGCAGTTGAGCGCCGTAAGGGGGGATGAAGGAGTCCTGGAGGGTTGAGTGAAGCGAGGTCGGCGGTAGTACCTTCGCGACACAACACGCCCTCTTTGGTCCGGATTTCAATCGAAACGGTAGCCTCTTTGGGTAGCGCCAGAGAGGAAACGGTCACGCGTCCCGTCAGAGGACCGCAGCGAGGAGTGGGGGGGTCCGGGGCGGCTTGCCGTTCTGGATAGTAAGGGTCATGCTGACGAGGCAAGAGTGTGTGGAACAACTGGGGTACTCTGAACCGGTAACCCAGCCATACACTTCGAGCTTCCGATGTCGCACCTGACACCAACTCTCTGCTCCTATATCCAGTCGGTAGTCCTAGTGCACCACTATGGGCACTCCCAAATGTGCGGGCTCCAAGGAGGGTGGGAAGCTGACTGGATGAATTTAACCAACACGAACAATGGACACCAACAGGTTCAACGTTCCGCCAACACCCGATGGGAAACCTGAGGGCACTGCTACTCGCTTGCAGACCGAGAAATCGGAATGAATGCTTGAGGAAAGCACCACACCACACCTCAGATTGAGGATACCCTACATCTGCTAGAGCAGAACTGGACGGTCGTGGCCAGGAAACGAGCGAGGAAGGTAGAGGATACTCGGACCCCTGCACCATCCGGTCAGACCTCCAGGCGTTTGGAGAGGAAGAGGGAATGGACGCGAAAAAGACGGCAGTTCAAACGGGCCTCCCGTTTGACGGCCTCTTGTAGTGACCGTATTGTTCAGTCGGAAGACAAGGGCTCTGGGACGCCAGGGGGCAGCCAGCTGCCCAAGCAACCCCAGGTGACGCCGGGCCCGAGTCGGAAGCTAGACCGCCCAAAGCCGAAAGGGAAAGAACCCGCGAAGATGAAGTCTGGGGCCAAGCGGGCAAGGCTCGATGAGACAGTGTCTCCTCGACGCGAATCCAAACGGCCTAAGACGACGGCGACCGAGACCGCCCTGAAATCCTACGCGATTGCAGCGGCCTCCTCGGCTCTCATCAGATGCGCCGTCACGTCACGAAGACCGAGTTTATCTCAAGACCGACGGCGGAGCAAATTCAGGAGAAGCTCGAGGAAGCCTTTTTACAGGCAGCGATAAGCATGGAACGTCCGGCCTGTTTGTGGGAGGGTCTAGCTTTTTGCAGGAAACCCCCCTACGCGGACGGGTGCCTTCGCTTTACGTGCACCAACACCGCAACGTTTGATTGATTTCGACAGGTGGTACGAGATCTCCACGACTCGGAGCTGGGAGAGCTTGTTGTCCTCCGGGACGACGAGATCCCCAAGAGAGTCAACTGTGGTTTTGTGCTGCCCAAGCTCTGGAAGCACGATCAGGCGTTGCTAGGCAAATGCCTACAGATCGGGAATCCGCAGCTGAAACCCCAACGTTGGTTGCTTAACGGCATCCAACAACAGCCTACCATCGGGGCCACATTCGTTGTGGTTTCGATCCCTGAGGACGTTTTGCCTGCGATCTTGGCTAGGGGACGCCGACTCAGCTTTATGTTTGGGTCGGTGTTCCTGAAGTTCAGGGACGCCAAAGGGAAGTACGTCGACACTCCGCCGACGTCCGACCGCTCAGCACCACTCGGGGCTCAAACCGCAGCGAACGATACACCAGCGCCTCCAATACCATCTACATCCAGCGCTGGCCCCACGGACACCGCCGTTCCACGTGCCTCGTCACTGGCTGTCGAAGTTCCGGGAACCTCGCAGGTGGTGTCCTCGCCGCTTAGTGAGGACTGTCTCCTGGAGCTCGACGGGCTGGGGCTTGAGGACGTCGTCTGCCAGGACGATGGCGTCCCTCTGCAGTAGTGCAAACATACTGCAAATAAATCTCCACCACAGCGTAACCGCTACGGCTCAGCTTCGGCGATGGTTGGAGACCAACAACACAGCAGTCGCACTAATCCAGGAGCCGTGGAGTAGGAGTGGCACGGTGCGAGGACTCTCCAGCTTAGGAGGTAAGCTCGTTCAAGCCACTACTAGCGACGTAAGGTCCTGTATATACATTTCCAAAAACATTAGAACACAGCCTTTAATGAATTTCTGTTCCAGAGATCTCTGCGCTGTTAAACTGACCCTAAACCAAGATAATAACAGTTGTGACCTGATCATAGCTTCTGCATATATGTCTGACAGTGAACGGGCCCCACCAGAAAACATTGCGTCTCTGGTCCGCTTCTGTGCTCGGGAAAACGAAGAACTGAACACAGGCAACGAACCTACCTTCGTAGGCAGACGGTGCAAGACCATCATAGACCTGACCCTCGCGACACCAAAA